TTCTGTCTCCTTGTGGGACTCCTATTATTTATATGATAATACTCTTGATGGTGTCCCACAGGTCCTTGAGGCTCTTTCCTTTTTTTTTTTCCATCCTTTTTCCCTCTGTTCCTCAGACTGGATAATCTCAGTTGACTTATCTTCAAGTTGACTGATTCTTTAGCCTGTTCAAATTTGCTGTGATTTCTGCAGATGTGAATTCTTCATTTCATTTATTGTATTTTTTAGCTCCAGAATTTCTATTTGGTTCTTTATTATATCTCTTTATCGATGTTTCAATTTGGTGAGACATCGTTCTCATATTTCCCTTAAGTTCTTTAGATGTAGTTTCCGCTCTCCTTTGAGCACATTTGCGATAGCTGATTTAAGTCGTTGTCTGATAAGCCCAACGTCTGGGCTTCCTCAGGGACAGTTTCTGTAGACTGCTTTGATCCTGTGGATGGGCCATACGTGCTTATTTGCATATCTCTTAATTTTGTGTTGAACACTGCACATTTTAAGTAATAGAATGTGGCAACTCTGGACATCAGATTCTTCTGCCTCTCCAAGATCTGTTATTGCTATTTGTTGTTGTTCTTTGTTTGTTCAGTTACATTTCTAAACTAATTCTGCAAAATCTCTGCTCGGCTTATGAGTTAGCTAATGAAAGGATAGAGAATTCCTTAAATGCCTGGAATGAGTACATCTCCCAGTCTTCCCAAGGAGCTCTGTGTGCATGGTGGGACATATCTTCAACACTCAGGACCTTGACATTTTCAACTTAGCCTTCATTTCCTCCTTTCATAGAGCTTCAGTGTTAGCCAGAAGTGAGAGCTAGGGCTTTCTCAGTTCTTTCCTGTGCATGCACACAGCCCTAGATATATCAGAACTGCTATGGATATTTCATTCCCTAGCTTTTCCTTTTAAACTTTTTAGTTAGTCTTTTGTTTGCCCACCTCAGGCAACCATGATTTTAAACAGTTGCCTATGATTTTTTTCAACAGGTGACCCCAGTGAAAAGGCTGTTTTCACTGCTTGAGCTCCAAGTTAGAAAGACAGCCTTGTGAGTGGGGTCTTCCAGGAAGCCAACAGTTAGGTCAATTAATGACAATTCTCTAGGAATGGGACTTTGAAGGCGCTCCAGTCTGCCCCTCCAATGGCTGCCAGACTCCTGTTTCCACTGTGATTGTGGGCCAGTGCTTTTCTAGGCTACTGGAGAGGTGGGAATGGGAATAGGGCAAGTTCAAATGCCGCAGAGCTCACAGTTATTACTGAGATTCAGCCATTTTTCTTGAATAAATGCTCTTCAGATTGCTACAGAACTTTGGCTAATTTCTGGAGCTTAGAAATGGTTCTGGCAGTTTTTGCCAGTGTTAGCATTTATGGAGGAAAGGTTTTCATATACCTTTAATCTACCATTTTTACTGACGTCGCTTGAATTGGTTTTTGCATGTTTTAATCCATAACTATTTTATCATTTTTCTTGATTCTAAGATGCTCATATTCTTTGAGTTTCATTAAGTACCCAGCATTGTGCTGGCGCTTATCGTATGTCATTTTATGTTCTACTACTACTGCTGCCACCATCACCACCACTAATACTGACACTACAAATAGTAATATAAAGTGTTCTTTTACACTGTGTGTTTCCTAATATGAATCATTGTTATGTTAGTGAATGATGCCACTGTATCATAAATAAGTTAGTTCATATGTAGTTTTTCCTCTGTAAGGAGAGCCAGAGTAGTGGAAATGGAAGTATAACCTTCTGGCTGCTGCAAGTGCCTTTTGGTTTTATTTAAGAAAATTAAAAAACATACCTGCATGTAGAAATCCCTCCCTAGGGAGGTACAACCTTCAGCCTGCGGCAGATTACAGTGCCTCCAAGCCCTCCTTAGGGCAGCCTGCTGTCTCAGAGCTGCACGTCCCTCTGCGTTGTCTGAGCACATGTCTACCTGGCTCTAATTAAATGTCACATGCATTTCCATTCTATTGTTTTTATTCATTTTTAATATCCTCTCTACTAACCTCCTGCTCCCCTGAGTTACCTGCTTGAATTACCCAAGTTATAGCCCCTGATGCTAACTGCAGTTTGTGTTGTTATTGTTAAATCCTCCATTTAAAAAGACGCAGAGGGTTTTGTTGCTGTTTGTGACTTTTTGTCTTTTAATGATCACTAAGGCCTTTCTCACTCTACCATTCTGTGATTGTGTTTCTAGGCACAAATTTGCAGAAGAAATTCAATTTATGTTTTCCTGAGACCTAGAAAAAGAACACTGTAAGAATACGTTTAATATGATACAGTGGAAAGAGCAGACATCTTTGAAATCAGATCTGAGTTTGTTTGGATTTTGGCTCTGCAATTTAACAGTTGTGTGGTATTGGCTTAGTTAAGTTTCGAGTTTCCCATTTGTAAAGTGGGGATAATAGAGTGGTTGTGAGGCTTCAACGAAATACTCCATAAAGGTCTTTACACAGTGACTGGCACAAATCAGGCACTCAACAAATGTTGGTTTCTTCCTTTCTCTTTCAGTTCCAAATGTTTGCAAACTTAGTGGATGATGGCTGTGAGCTGTCTGGTCATGAGCTTTTCTCTGTCCAAGCCTGCTCTGATCTACTCATTCCCTGATAATCTTTTTTTAAGAAATAGCTTTATTGAGATATAGTTCACCTACCATAAAAGTCACCTATTTTTAAAGTGTACAATTCAGTGGTTTTTAGTATATTCACAGAATTCTTCAACCATCATCACAATCTAATTTTTAGAACATTTTCAACACCCCAAAAGAAACCCTGTACCCATTAGCAGCCATTGCACAGGTTTGAATGGTCTATCCCACTTTCCCTTAAGCCCGGTAATTTTTAGTGTGCAGTTTTTGTAGCATGCATATGTTACTGTTAACAGAAATCCTTGTATTATAGTCTGGGCTTTTGCCCTCATCACTGCAAGTGTTCTCTCTAAGGCCACCGTGACCTTCTAATCAAACCAATGCTTTTGGTCCCTGTCTTATCTACCTCTTTTGTGGCGTTGGACTGTTGGCCAGTTCTTTGTTGATATTCTTATCTCCTTTACTTAGTTTGAAGTCTTTTTCTCATAGTCTCCTCCTATCTAGTAGTTCTAACTCAGTCTATTCACCTGGTCCACCTTATTTAAAGATGGGCGTTCCTGAAGGTTCTACCTATAACCTTCCTCCTCAAATGCTAGATAAGATCTTTCTTTCACATCTTTACATGGTATCACTTTTAATATCTTTAGTTCCTGTTAGCAATTTGCTATCCCATTGGGAATTTAAGTATACCTGTTTCTTCACTAGTCTAAGAAATACAGATTTTCTTTTTGAAATTTATTTTTTCATGTTTAATAACTATAAGATAGGCTTTATAGTTAGTTATTTTGTAGGACTTTTTAATCGTTAGCTTGGCTAATTCCCAGATGTTCACATTGTTTGTATTTCCTCTTCTTTTCCTACTCCTCCTCCTTTTTTGCCATTGAAGACTAGCTATTGCCCATGTAGATATTGTGTGTGATACAAATTTGGGGAATTAAATATTGACCTATCTTTTTAGTCACAAGTACTTTTTATGATCCAGTTTTTGTCTCAATTTTCTTATTGAACAAATATTTTTTAAAACATTTCTGATTAAATGTGCTTATTTAACAAAAATAACTTTTCAGTGATGTAATTTTCAAAAATATTTGTCAGGGCCTTGGGGAACATTTCCTAGAGTGCTGCCCAAGAACGCAGCGAGGAACATCACTTGTCCCCCTTCTTAACAAGGTGGAGAGAAAGCAAGTAGTGAGAGAAAGTTGAATAAAGAAATTTCATAATGAAATCCAGGACAAAATTAATCTTTAGGTCATGAGGGAAAATTTATCACTCTTATAGTCAAGGGATAGCTTTCAATTTTAAATGAATTTAATCCTATACTTAATTTTGATTGAAATTCTAGATTTTTAAAAATATTGTCATTGAATGAAGTCTGCAACCCTTCAGACAGGCATAAGACTGTCACTCGTCCTATCCACCTGTTTGTACCTTCTTATTCCAACACAAGAGAGTAAGCGGTGTCCATAGAGTCGTGTTAGGCTCCAGGAATATGAGTCTGGCTCTCCTTCACTAATCTCCTTTTCGTCCTCCCACTCTTCAAACTGGGCATTTTTAGTCACTTTGGTCCAGTCAAGGTGCCAGACAGAACTGGCACCTTGATGTCATTTCTAATAGCTGTTGTGTAAAGATTTTATTTAAATGTTTAAACAAGCATCTATCTGCCCTTTTTGTTTGCTTAAATAAGTGAAAACAAGCAAGTTAACAGTTCTTGTTTCCTGGTGCTTATGTAACTTTCCAAAGTACTTGGAATATGTTCTTCAAGTTACATAGCATATATATAATTCCTCCATTGGAATTCTAGTTTTATAAACTGGGAGATATGCTTTTATCTCCTTCCATGTCTATTGTTCAGTAAGTTATTTGAGCTTTGCTCTGCTTTCCTGCAAGTGGTAAAGCTTCACATGTATTGCAACCCACTAATGAGTAACCGTGCAGCCTTGGCCATGAAAGCGTAGGGGCATAGTGACAGTCAGGGTCTAAGTCAGGACGCAAGGACTCGTGGAAGAAGACTGCTGATTTCTACTCCTGTGGTTAAGCCCTTTAACCTGTACAAAGGGTTAGGTAGTCAGAATTTCAGTGTAATTCTTGCAATATAGAGGCAGCTGTACTGGTGTACTATACTGGTGTGTGTATTTCTGGTACTAGTATCTACCTGAATACGATTTTTTTGAAGTATCCTTTGAGATATACACTAAACCATTGTTTGTGCCAATGCCTTGTTTTAAATTTGCCATGTGGAGTGGTAAGAACTTAGTGTGAGTGGAAATTAAGGTCAGAATTGTGTACTGCTGTGGGTACTTTTAGGTGCTTTTTGTATAGAAGCCATTGCCGTTCTTCTTTTGTGGTATAAGCTATTAATCACTTATTTTTTCCTTTCAAATCGTCTGGAAACGACCTGATGCTCTCTTCTAGATGCCCTGGAGCTTCTCATCGGAGAGCTGCCCTAGAGAGAAGGAAAACTAGTAGAACTCAGACAGAGATTGAGAATGAAAATGGAACCACTATAGTAGATCTCCCAGGTACTTTATCACCCGAAACGGACTGTTCGGGGACAGGCACAGTGCCCGCCGAACGGAGCTTGACGTCCGCGTCTCTCCCCGCGTGGACAGAGGAGCCGGGCCTGGACAACCCTGCCTTTGAGGAGAGCGCTGTTGCCGACAGTATGTGCCGCCCACCTCCTTCTCCTGTTTCTCATCTCTGTTTTCAATTGGACATTTCCTTCCTTCCCACTACTCTCCCAACATGCAATTTTTCCTCTTTAAAAAAGTATTTTATTGAGCTATAATTCATGTACCGCATAATTCACCCTTTTAAGTGTAGAATTCTAACAGTTTGCATTTTTGAAACAGAACAGGAATCTTACCCCAGAGGAGAAGGATCCTACCCCACCCCTCTTCTGTTATAGGCCATGAGTTCACTGGTCATTGACATGCTTCTTATTGTTGTTTGTGTGTTCAGAAGCTTGTAGCTTGACTAAGAGATCAAGAACATCAAGAACAACAAAAATAATACTCAAATTAAGTGCTTTGTGTCAGGCACTGTGCCAAGCACTGCACATGCATGAACTCATTAAATGCCTGTAACTAAATTAGGAGATTTTTTTTAACAGTGAGAAAACTGAGACTTGAGAGATTAATTGGTCCAGCTCATGCAGCCAGGAAATGGCTGGATGTATATCTGACTCCAAGGCCACGCTTCTGACTGTCGCACTCCTCTCATAGCAGCCGCTAATCTGACTGCACAACCCACTAGGAAATGAGCAGAAAGCCTGTAGTCATAGATCTCAGGCGTATTTTGATAGTTGGCCCCATGTATTTACTTGTAAATATAATTTTCACTTACAAATTCCAAATTAGACTACAAATTCAAGTTTTCGCTGCCACACCTATAATCCTTCATCTCCTAAGGCTCAGTTGTAGACCCAGCTCTTCTCAGCGTTTGCTGTGACTTCCCTCTCAACACCTATGGTGATTATATACCACGGGGTTAGTCTTTCCTTTATACTGCCGTGCATTGCTTACAATTGTGTCATGGTCCATACTGTCTCTTACCAGTTAGGACAAGATGGCATTCTCTTAGTAGTTCTTTTTCAGAAAACTGTGTTGTCCCTTGTGATCTGATACATAGTAGCTATTTGTTGATTATTTACTGATCACCTTTGGAAGAAGAAATGTTTAGCCATCTTTACATATAGATATTTTTTGTCATTATGTTTTTTTCATCCAGTGGTATTGCTTAGTTGCTAATCGTCTGTTAACATAAAATGACTTATTTACCTGAAGATGATCAAAAATATAAAACGTTGTTTTTCTTTCCATCTACTTTTCTCTCTCTCTCATTTTTAACTCAGCAGCTGCACAACAGCCACTTAGTTTACCAGAAGGCGAAATTACCACAATTGAAATTCACCGGTCTAATCCTTATATTCAGTTAGGAATTAGCATTGTGGGTGGCAATGAAACTCCACTGATTAACATTGTTATCCAGGAAGTCTATCGAGATGGGATAATCGCCAGAGATGGAAGACTCCTTGCTGGAGACCAGATTCTTCAGGTATCAGTCAATTTTAATTATTCTGTTAACTTGCACCCTTTTGTTCCTATTCATAAGTTTAAAACTTAGAAAATTGTGGTACTGCGGAACCTGAATTATATATAGGTTAGTTTTGCTGTTTTTATATGCAGAACAGATCAGAATTTATCTGTAGTTTCTCCTATTTCCCCATATAAATGGAATGTATTTTTTCTCCATTCCTTAATTTTCAATCCCACATGTGACTCAGCACACAGTGCTGGGCTCTTTGGGCCAGCTAGACTCTTCCTGGCTTGGACTCCATGGTTGGCTGTCTCAGGGCCACTTCACCCGGGCTGAAATCTTATTATTCCATTGGCTTTATCCTAAGTCCAGTTTTCTCATCTGTCTGTTACCTTTGTTGTCTACTTTATCCTTCTCTACTATGCCGATTACTAACATCTAGAAAAGATGCAATGTACAGCACTAGTTACTTATAATTTATACCATGGAATTTAAGAGAGAATTTAGAAATCATAGCCATCTTTTATTGGCTCCCCAATACACTCTCCTCAGTAAATCATCTAACCCTTCATCAACCCTTGATACCACCCTCACCTTCTTCTCTTTCAGAAGATGATCTTTAAGAAGAATAGCTATTCCAAAAAAAAAAAAACTAGCTTGGGACAAGATGATATTTTATTAGAGGGCATGTTGAGACTGAGGGAATGGGGATTGTAAGAATTCTGCTGTATAGGCCTGGAGTTTATGTGAACACTGGCCTGGATGTTTGAATCATACAAGTGTAGGTGATAGCTGAAGCTAAAAGAAATGATAACTTCTGGAAGAAGAGAGAAATTTTCATAAACCAGAAAAAATATTTTCTAGGAACTCAAGCTCAAGGAGTCTTCCTCCTCGATTTCGTCATTCAGTCCTTCACCATGATCTGTTGATGTCTATCATTACTTCCATTTTCCCTGCTGCCTCTTTAGGCCCTCACTCTTTCATATCTAATTTAGTACATACCCCATCAAACATCCCTGCCTCCCAGCTCTGCTCTTAGATGAAGCATGATCACTGCCAGGTTAATATATCTGTAACTCTGCTTTCCTTGGGAAGATTTGACTAGAGGATCAAGACCAGACTGATTAATATTCAGCATCCTCCACGGTCTTTTACAAAGCCTGTCGTCTTAATCTTAATTCTTTCTTTTCATTTCAGGCATAGCAGTTTGTTCGCTTCCTACAGCGTTCTAGGCACTGTGTTAGTCGCTGAGGACACAGTGAAGAGCAAAATACTGTCCCTGTCCTTGTGGAGTTTATGATCAAGTGGAAGAGCCAGACATACAATCTTCTTGCTTCTCTCCAAACAACATATTCTGCCTTCTAGCCTGTTCCCATTGTCCTACAATTTGTTCATCTTCCTGCTTAAAGCTTTGCTCAGCCATTCTCACCTCTCCTTACTTTAATTGCTGATAACGTCATCTTCTCTTCATCACTTGGCACATATTCACAGTACATATTTAAATATACTGTCTTTCCACGGTGATTCCAGCCCCCCAATGGTACAGATTTTGACACAGGTTTCTCTTAGCACTGTGCATGTAGTAAGTGCTCAGGAAATGCTGAATCACTAAGAGTGGATTTGGGTATAAAATCCTGTCAGGAATAGCCATCTCCTTTATTAAAACAAAACTCGGAACTTCTAGGATTTTCAGCTCTTGAGAGGAAAGGACCTTCCACGGGGTTCCTGGCTTTCGTTTCCACTCCCACTTGCACGCTGCCTCTCTCCGTGTGTCATTCTACTGTAACATTCGGCCCCAAATCCTTCCTTCATTGCCCTTCATATGGCTGCCCCAGACTGAACTTTCAAGCAGCTTTTTATTTTTTACTGAATGCTAAGAGGAAATGGGAATACAGGGAACGTAACTGATCCAGCTTATATAAAATGAGGTTTCTGATCCAACCACAGCCAGCTATTTACTGTATTTACTAGTAAAAGCTAGTTATTTACTGTATCTCTGTACTTGCTATCATTTATGACATTAGTACTCCAGCTTCATGAGGCTGGCACAGCTGTGTGGACACCTCAGCTACTCTTAATCCGATTCAGTGTGGAGACAATCTTACAGCTGGGCTCCCGGTGCATCCCCCGACCAGGAGAGCCAGACTGCCCTTTTCCGCAGCTTATGTAGTGCTCTTTCTTTCTCCCACTCTGGCCTTTCTGGCTGTAACTAAGTGTACATTTATTTTTGTGCTTTGTTCTTTGCTACCAGTAATGTGCTAGCATTGGGTATTGACATTTTTATACATTTCTCATTCTTTTTCTGGATTTTAAAGGTAAAAACAAATGCTTTGTTTTTGTTTGTATTTCTTTGAATACAGTTGAGGTTAAACAGTTTTTCAGTTTTGTTTGCTAATAAATTTCATCTTTGGGGTTTTTACCCTTCTATTTTAGAGAATCGTTTAGTAACATATCTGAATCTTTATACCTCAGATAAAATTATAGTTATCTGAAATTATTGACTGTCTTTTTGAGAATTAACTCGAAGCTGTAAATTTACGTTTTAGAAATTCCAATGCGTTATTCTTCTTTAGGGAGGCATACATATTAATAACTGTAGTAATGATGATCTTAAGTCCAGTTTAATGATTCTAATTGAGAAGAAAAGTATAAGCACATAACCTGCTCAATGAATTCAAAAGGGTCTCTCCTATTGTGGGCCCTGAATTAATTGCTATGCTGGAGCCAATAAGTAAAGCCACACCCTTTGCCCAAATGTGGAGAATATTTATGGTCATTTCAAAAGTAAATACTTGGAAAGAAGGCTGCTTTGAATTTTTTTCTAACTGGTTATCTTCAACTTTGTATAAGCTCTGTAAATAATACAGTGAGCCAATTTGAAAATACCTAAGAGTTGTTAAAATGGTTTATTTATAGACCAAAGAGCTAGCAAGCCTAGGATTTTATTTTTGCAAACCATATGCAGTAACAGGCTGTGACTTTGGGTTTTCCACATAAAAAAAATATGTATTTCTATATAGTCACACCTACACACACATATGTGTACATGTATCTTACTCTATTCAGGAGCCTCTTTGAAAAGGAGAACTTACACTACCCTCAGGGCCTTTTACTATGAAGCCTTTTGTGCAGTTTGAAGAAAAAAATACTGCTGTTATAAATTATATTGATATGATTAAAAATAACTTTTGGAACATTATTAAGAATGGGTATTTTCAGTTTGATCAGTCATCAGTGATTTAGGCATTTTCAATTTTGAAGTGATAAAGTTTAATAAATAATGTTCTGTGAGTATTGCATTATGCTTATTCTTTTATATCTTGCACTTGTTTGCTAAAGAATTAGAGTGAAATTATGATTGTCTGCTTTTCTTTAAAGTAAAAAGATTGCTTTTACTTTAAAGAAACAAAACTTAGTTTATTTTCTCTAGCTTAAGTGTATTTCATTTGGAAAAGCAAATTTGTGATCCAGTAGAACTTCAATTTCTGTTCCACTAGAAGTAGTATTTCCTTAGCACTCGTCGTGTGCTGATGTCGTCTGTTTGCTCTCGTCCTGATCCTGTCTAGTAGATGGTAAACACGTTTTACAGATGAGGAAACACACTGAAACAAGGTCTGTAATTTGCCTGAGGTCATCCGGTTAGTACGGGGCAGAACCAAGGCCCCTAGTTCAAGACTGTCATTAAAGCTGTGATCCTAAATACTGTTCTCTACTTTGTGCGGGTCGTTGTAAGTTAATTTGGGGAACTCTGTATTTTAAAATGCCTTTAGAGTGGTTTTCTTTGTAAACAGTGATTGTATATCATTTTCACAATGTTAGTTTTATTTGGAAATGTTATATAAACATTTCTAAAAATTGGGAAAATAAAAGATTGTCATGCTTTGGTCATAATTCTTTTTTTCTAGGTCAACAACTATGATATCAGCAACGTGTCCCATAACTATGCCAGAGCTGTTCTCTCCCAGCCCTGCAGCACGCTGCATCTCACTGTGCTTCGAGAGAGACGCTTTGGCAACCGAGCATACAGCCACTCTGATAGAGAAGAGGTCTTCCATGTGGCTCTTCATAAGCGGGACTCTGGTGAACAGCTTGGCATTAAACTCGTACGAAGGACTGATGAGCCAGGTGTTTTTATTCTTGACCTGTTGGAAGGGGGGCTGGCTGCACAGGACGGGAGGCTCAACAGCAACGACCGAGTACTCGCCATCAACGGACACGACCTGAAGCATGGGACACCCGAGCTTGCCGCGCAGATCATTCAGGTAAACTCTGGACATTCATTCCAGGTGCTTAGCCTTCATTGCCATGTGTCAGTATTTGTTTTCATTAGCAAATAACATAAGAATCCAGGGGATATTTGATATTTCATTAGAAAATCAAGCACAGCTACCGAAATCCTTTAATAGCCACAATAGTATAACTTCATTATAGACAGAATCTTTTCTAAAAACAACATACCCATGCACTTTTAGGCTGGCTGTTTATGGCGTGAGGGCTCTAAGGTTCCACGTGCATTTCCATTTGCTCCTTAGGCTCCACCTAGTACCAGACATAATAGATGGTGGTGTCCACATTTAACAGGCGAGATAAGTGAGGCTCAAAGGAGCTGTGATTACCAGGTCGTGACTTACCTGGTCTCTTAACACCCTTTTCCACTTCAGGATCCATTAAAAATAGGAGGGAAATCTTTTTTTTATTAGGAATAACTCTTATCTCTATAGTACAGAGCATTTCAAACACATCATGACATTTGTCTTCACAGTGTGCCTGTGAAGTAAGTAAGGATAGTCACTATTAGAGAAATTGGAAAACCATCCAGAGAAGATCTCCAGGTTCTGGAGCGTGCCATGGCATTTGATACTCGTATCTCCTGCAGTGTTATATAAGGGTGAACAAAAATGTGTTTGTGTTCTTAAAGTAAGCACAGCAAAACTCTATAAAGGAAACCAAGTATTAATATAATTGAACATCAGGAATTAAGGCGGGTTGATAGCCATTAAAAAATATGTATACGCAGGATCAGAAAACAATGAAAATTTAAGACTATAAGAAAACCCAGGTTTCAGTCCCCTTAACTTACTCCGTTTTTTAACTTTTTGGTTCAATATAGCCTTAAGAAAACACACACACACACACACACACCAGCCGTATTGCGTTGAGAGGAGACTCAGGTATTGGTCTCATTTCATAGACTTGAGGTTTAAAGAAACTGGATGGCTTGAAATTCCCCTGCATCAGAGGCAGCCTTAGGACTTTGCCTGTGGATAGCAGCCAGCTGCTGCACTGCTGAAAATGAGTTCATCTTGTAAGAGTGGGGATTGGTGGGAGGGAGGGGGGGGAAAGAACAGAAGAGCGTTAATCCACTCTTGGGGTTTATTAAAGGAAACAGGAGAGTTGAGTGGACTTTATGAAGTGAAAAGTCAGATCAATAAGATAGAAAGAGAAATTGATTGACTATATATTTCAGGCAATGTTAAAATACTCTTAATTCTTAAGTAGATAGTCCTCACTAAATTTCTAACCAAACTGTGGAAAATATAGACACACAGGTGGAAAATACACTTAAAATTTTTCATGATAATATATCTTATTTGGATTTTTATAATCCAGATAGTTAAATTAGTTGCATCATATTTTGTACTGTAATTTTAACCAAGCTATAAAAAACTAAAGTTTGATTTGTTTCTTTTTGAAAAAAATTAAAAAGTCTTACTGTTTTTGGTACAGGTTATAAAAATAACGTGTACTCCATGTCCGAAAAGAATACTGAAGACAAAATACACAAAATAAAGAAGGAAATTAAAATCACATTCAGTCTAAATACCCCAACACAACATTAATATTTTGAGGGACATCATTACAAACATTTTTTATGTATACATCCACAGATAAATAGCATGCACTTGTAGATTCTGAGTTTGCAACATTTTCTTTTGTCAGCAGTATCTTGTGGACTTCTTACACAAAAATAAGTATAGATTCACATCATGATTTGTAATCACAGTATCGTAGGCATGTTGTACTACAACTTATTTAATCATTCTCTTATTGATAGACTTTCGTGTTTTGATTTTAAGTTTAAAACCTTTTGCTAAACTTCCCTCCAGAAAGATCACATCATACCAATTTATATGCCCAGCAATAGAGCATGCCACTTACTTGTGAACTAAGGGTATTGTCATTTGGGCATCTTGCATTTTTCTTCTTCTTTTTCTCCCCAAAGACCCCTCAGTATATAGTTGTATATTCTAGCTGTGGTCCTTCTGGTTGTGCTATGTGGGACACCGCCTCAGCATGGCCTGATGAGCGGTGCCATGTCTGTGCCCAGGATCCAAACTGACGAAACCCTGGGCCGCCAAAGTGGAGCACGTGACTTAACCACTCAGGCATGGGGCCAGCCCGGCATCTTGCATTTTTAAAATCTCAACTTGAACAAAACTTTTCTGCTGTATTTGAAACCCTGAAGTGTTAGATGTGCACTCTGTTTAAAGTTAGCCTAAGCCCAAATGTTGATCTATCGTTTAAATCCTAAATGCCCAGTTCAATCACATGCACAGAATTTTGTCTTTAAAAAAATCCACAAAGATTTGTTTCTCTTAATAGATTTACATAAGCAAGGGTTTTCTGGTTGAAATACTGATTATAGAGTATTTGGTGGTTATGAACTGTTAAGCAGTAATGAAAATGATTCTGTACTTTGAAATAAAGTCACCAAGGGAGCACTCACCATCTCACACTGTGCGATCTGATAACGTGAAGTGTCAGAATTTTAATTACTAGGATTTTAAACATTCCACTTTTATATTTACCCTTTAGATCAAGTCCCTAGACCCTGTGCTTTGGGAGTCTGGCCTATATGTTAGGTGTTATTCTTTCAGTTATTTTGAAGAACTTGTCTGAAACTATTTAGTTAATAAAATGCTTGAATAAGCAAAGGATTTTCGGTAGAGAATTAAAATTGGTTATCACTTATTTTTCAGTTTAAGAACTGAAAATAGTACAATGCTATATGTCAACTATATTTCAGTAAAACTGGGAAAAAAAGGAAGTGAAAATGAGTGATTTCTTAACGTTATTAACTATAATCATGGAGGAGGTCCCCACTTTCTACCACAATTCCTTGAAAGCAGGCTGTCATATTTTCCCATAGGAGTAGTAATAAAATTGGGAATTGTGGTCACAACCAAGAGTCAGCATCAAATAACTCAGGCCTGTACATTAAAAGCAAAGGTAAAATAACCTTTAAAAACATAATAGATGGGAATCCATGTTTAAAATATAGATATGTAGATATATGTAGATATAGATAAAGGGCCTCTAAATTTAAGATGACAGTCATGAACTTGTAAAATAATTTAACATAATGCTTAAGTGTGTGTGTGTGTGTGTGTGTGTATTACACACAATATATATAAATACTAGTCTTGTTATATAGGATCTCTATAATCCTTTTTAGGACTATTTAAGTTCATGTCCTATTTTTGACTCAAACTTAAAGCAAGCAGAAACAAAGCTGTGCATAGTTTGATTTGTTTCAAAAGTCACAATGGATTTTAATCAAGTTTTGAATAACTTCTTCTTTTTATCTTCTTTCCTTTGCTCCCTCCCTCACAATACCAAGGCAAGTCTTGAAAGGGCAAAGAAGTATTAAAAGAAAGGTACCCCTCAAGAAATCATGGGGAGCTGAGAACACGAGAAGTTTGACTGCTTTGCCGTGGTTACTTTGGCGGCAGGGCTGGGGAGGGCATGTCCAAGAGCTGCATGTGTGTGTTTTAACTGCAGAAGTTTTAAAATATTAGCTCATGAAATGAACTCCCTTCCTCCCCACTAGCAAGTGCTTGCAGTCACTACCCAGGCAAGGTCTGGTGCAATTCTGAGACGTGCATTGAAAATTAACACTGCCTGTAATTTTTTTGATGAGAATCATCATTAGTGATGGTGGTACTGTATGCGTGTTTTCTCCAGGCTAGTGGAGAGAGGGTGAATTTAACAATTGCTAGACCGGGGAAACCCCAGCCTGGTAACACTATCCGAGAAGCGGGAACTCAGAGCAGCAGCAGCCAGCACCACGCACAGCCACTGTATCACAGCAGACCCAGCTCACATAAGGTGAGGTGTTTTCATTTGTGTTTTTTAGTTCATCGCCCTCAAGGGATCATTGTTACAAGATGGTAAGATTTAAATGAGGGCCGTTACTCTGTTGGAAAACGTGAACACAGGTGTTTGGGATTGAAATGTGTAGCTTTTGCTACCTTGGAGGGTGGCTGCGTTGTCTCAGTTCCTCAGCCAACAGAGGTCCCTCTGCCAGGTGACTGATGAGAAGTGTTTGATCTTCCAGAAAAATCTTCTATTCATTTAGTCCTAGTAAGTGGGATTTATTGGGTTGTTCATTTCAATCTAACAGTTGGTTTATGTGATTCAAAAAGCATAGCGAAGACAATGATTGACAAGTGTATACCTAGCAACTGGACAGGTTGCCTACTACAGCAGAATTAGATGTGTGAATATTAAACATATAAACCATAAATTTTGATAGGTACATGTGTTGCATATTTCCTTTTATGTTATAGCTTATACGAATACTGCCCTAAATCATTTAAAATTCCCATATGTTGAGCTTTTTTACTGCTGCTTCCACATTTAACTGGTTTTAGAATATTTCCCTAGATCATTTATCTGTGCTGAGAATTTTGATACTGTCTCTCTTTAGTTGCAGAAATCAAAAAAGAATGGTACTTTACTGCATTCTTGATATTATTTACTTCATTCGGCCCTTCATTTGAACTCAGTTTCTGGTAGGCTAAGATTTTTAAGACAGTGATGTTTACCTAACTATGTGAAAATATAAGCTAAATATGAGCTTCCAAAGCCATTCTCCTTAAGTAAAATTAATTTGCTTTACTAAACAAAAACTTATCTGTTGGTCTTCTTAAAAACCATAGGAAGTTTCCTATGTGCTAAGATGGCTTCTTAATATACGTACAGTAATTGAAAGAATAATTACCTTTGAAATGCTGCAGGTACCCTAAGAAAGCACCCCTTAAAGGCACAAGTATTTTTGGCCCATCAGGCTTATCTGGTTTTCTGAGCTTAAGTACAGACTTGTCACTGGTCTTTGGTTTAGTTAATACTTACAAAAAATTATAACCACCAACTTGTTCTTATTTCTGAACAAAAACCAAAATGTATGAAGGAAACCTATAATTTTGCCTTCATAATGGTGACTATGAAAAAGGAGTTATTGTTTTGAATAGGAATTTTGAATAGGAGTTGCTTCATATAGCTTGCTTTACAAGTTATATATATATGATATATATATTCCTAAAGAACTGTAATATAAGGCAAAAGTCGATTATTGAATCTTCTGTGTCATTGAATTCTACAATAATTTAAGATATGAGTGTCTATGACAACATTATAATTTTAAGATAATTTTAAAAAATACTTAGTCATTCCAACATTCGTATAGAGAACTCTGCATGTTTAGAGAACTCTGCATGTTTCATTTTGTTGTTTGTTTTGGACACACATATTTTTCTCTCTTAACTGCTATTCTTATTCTCTTTAATTTTTAGTAACGACGTTTTAAATAGCAATGCTGAATTATTGTTATTCTAGGTACTCTGCAAACCTAGTTGGTTAGAACAACCACAGGAAATGTACTTTTAAGTGTTAATTTAGCTGTTTACTATTAACATACTGCATTTGTTATGTCAGATCTTGATTTAAAAAAATAAAGGTCTCTTGGGGAAAAACAAACACACAAATTTACCAAAATAAGCAATTCAGACAATTATAATTGTTAAAGTATACATTAGTCTACTATTAAACCTCTAAGTAGCTGCTTGAATAAACGCTCATGTGGTGATGAACCTTTAGAAGGTTCCTTGAAGTGTACCACATGTAAGCTTTGAAGTTTGGTTTACTTCTTGAGGGTAAAAATGCATACATCTCAGCCGCGTAGAGGGATGAAACAACCAGCCTTAATTGATTAAATATGTAAGAGCCGAAACTGCATAAATAAATATACTCAAGACTGAGTTTCATGAGTTGTCTTCATAATACAATGGTTTTTGCCCAGTTTTGAAGGGTACTAACGTAGATTTCATATATTTAGTTGGGAGACTGCCTTAAGACATTTACAAGTTTTCTACTAGGTCATAACATTTTCTAGGAATGCTAGGCTATTATTACAAGTAGTTCCCTTGATAAAATTTCAAACATACATGAGATTCCAGGACCAGAGAAAGGCAGATGGGCCTGGAACTCCAGGGCCTGATGAACAGATCCATATTTGTTAATTCTCTAAAATAATGTCACTAGAGGAAATGTTATAATTCTGTAAATATAGTTTATATATTTCTATTGTTGATAGTGTTAATAATGTTAATAATTATCTTGTTATCTGCAACATTTTCCTGTAGTTGATAAATGTTAGAAACCTTTTGAGATATTAGCTTCCACTCTGACACTTAATGGGATAGCACCTGAGTGGTGTGGTGCATATAAACAGTGTATATACATGGTGCATCATACTGCGTGTACCTCTGTAAAACATATATAATACATATATATAATTATTAGTACTAATTAATTTGCATCAGTTCAAATCCCAGTGTAGTCACTTATAGTTGTATGACTTGGGGCAAGTTACATGACGTTTCTAAAGTTGCTTCCTCATCTGTAAAATGGAGCCAATGATAGTGTTTACTTTCAAGACCATTGTGAAGATTAAATGAAATAATGCTTGGCACATAATGTACCTTCAATAAATGTTAGTTATTTTTATTTTAATATTAATATTACATGTGTACATCTTGTTTTTTATTGACTTTTAAAAAAAGTGATTTTTTTTTAAAGATTTTATTTTTTTCCTTTTTCTCCCCAAAGCCCCCCCGGTACATAGTTGTATATTTTCCGTTGTGGGTCCTTCTAGTTGTGGCATGTGGGACGCTGCCTCAGTGTGGTTTGATGAGCAGTGCCATGTCCGCGCCCAGGATTCGAACTAACAAAACACTGGGCTGCCTGCAGTGGAGCATGCGAACTTAACCACTCGGCCACAGGGCCAGCCCCTAAAAAATAGTGATTTTTAAAATTCTCTTTTTCTTGCGGCTGGCCTCGTGGCTTGGTGGTTGAGTTTGGTGCACTCTGCGTCAGCGGCTGGGTTCACAGGTTCAGATCCCAGGTGCAGACCTATACCACTCCTCAGCCAGGCTGTGGCAGTGTCCCCCATATAAAGTGGAGGAAGATTGGCTCAGATGATAACTCAGAGCTAATCTTCTTCAGGAGAAAAAAAAAAATTCTCTTTTTCTTCCAGGAACATCTCAGTAATAAGTAGCAGTAGCAAATGTCAGTAAAAATAGTTTTTCCCTGAGAATATAGTTTGTTGGGAAATATTTCCCTGTTATTAACTTATTCAAAAATTCAGTTATTTCATATCCTTTTGGCTTTTCAAGAAGGTTTGGAAGGTAGATTTGCTCCTGCTTCGTGACTGAGTACTTTCATAATCCTTGTCAGTAAGAATCACAAGACAAGTCTGTAGCTTTTTTCTGGCAGTTAGTAAAATCTACATTTTACTTTTATACTACTCTGTCAACTTTTCTTTCAAAGAATAGAGGAGAAAGATGGAAGTAAAAGTAATTGGCTTGTCTTTGGAATTTTAAAATTCAAATGCATTATTTACTTTTATAGAATTGATCATATTTTGGAGCTCAAGGAAATTATACAAATGATGTGCTTATTTTACGTTGACTTCTATATGTCAACAGTCCTGAGTGTTTTCAGTTACATAAAGTGTTACAAAAACTCTGCAAAGTTTGACATTGTGATCCACGGCGTTCAGTGTACTGTTTGTACCTGTGAAGAACTGTATATGACTTTCAGTTCTATACTAAGTGATTTTAAAAAAAGACTTTACAGTTGCCACGTAAGTTTTTACTTTCGTTTAAGCTGTCTTTTCTTCAACTATATATTATTTGTTATCCAATAAATGTTTCCTCTCATGTTTAGGATCTGACCCAGTGTGTTACATGCCAGGAAAAACACATTACTGTAAAGAAGGAGCCACACGAGTCCCTTGGAATGACAGTAGCCGGGGGCAGAGGAAGTAAGAGTGGTGAGCTGCCCATCTTTGTGACCAGTGTGCCACCTCATGGCTGCCTTGCACGTGATGGCAGAATCAAGAGAGGTAAGATGGGATCTTAAACAGTTTCACCACGTCTTCTCCATGGAGTCAACTCATATTTTTAAAAATAAAGACTATCTACAGAATTTTCTACTAAATATGGCTTTTGAAAATCCTTTAAAATGTCCTTCGCATGTGCAAGCATAAAGCCTCTCTGTAAGGTGAGGGCAGTGCTCACTGTGAAGGGAAACTGCTGAAGCTTGGTAACGGTTCCATTACTTTCTAACAGTTACTCAGCTGGTGGATTATTTTATGTTGGAAAAGACCCTCTAAGAGACCCATGCTTCCAGCATTATGGCAGACTAGATGCTCCAAAGGGTCATCCTAGTGAAGGACAATAAAGTGTCTGTGTGGGAGGAGGCTCACACAGGAGGTGGAGCAAAAGGCAGACTTAATAAAAAGATAGCGGTTCTAGGGATAAACTCGTTCACAATTTCACCTTCCCCCTCAATACTATGTAATTTGTATAGGTGGGGGTGGTAGTGGTAAAAATAGCATTCTCCATACACTTGGTTTGTTCCTGTGGAAAAGTGAGTCTTAAAGGCTGTTTTTCCAGGAATGAAGTTGGATCCCTATATACAGAAATCAACTTAGAATGTAAGAGCTAAAACTTGTAGAAGAAAACGCAAGTGTCATTCCTCAGGACCTTGGATTAGGCAATGGAATAGTCAAGGATTTTCTTAGATAGGACACCAAAAACACAAGCAACAAGAACAAAAAGAGCAGATAAACTATACTTCATCGAAATTACAAATTTTGTGCTGCAAAGGATACCACCAAGAAAGTGAAAAGATAGTGAAAGTGAAAAGATACCCCACAAAATGGGAGAAAATATTTGCAAATTATGTATCTAATGAAGGACTTATATCCACAGTACATATAGAACTCTTACTACTCAGTAATAAAAAACACAACCCAATTTAAAAATGGGCAAAGGATCTCAATAGATATTTCTCCAAAGAAGATATACAGATGGCCAAAGCACATGAAAAGACGCTCAGTGTCATCAGTTATTAGGGAGTTGCAAATCAAAACCACTTCAAACCTGGGGGCGCCCAGTGGCACAGTGGTTAAGCTTGCATGTTCTGCTTCAGCGCCTCTGGCCTGGCCTGGGATTCACCAGTTTGGATTCTGGATGTGGACCTACACACTGCTTGGCAAGCCATGCTGTAGCAGGCATCCCACATATAAAGCAGAGGAAGATGGGCACAGATGTTAGCTCAGGGCTAGTCTTCCTCAGCAAGAAGAGGAGGATTGGTGGCAGATGTTAACTCAGGGCTAATCTTCCTCAAAAAAAAAATTAAAAGTAGAAGAACCACTTAAAACCCACTAGGATGAATATAATAACAAAGACAGACAGTAACAAACATTGGCAAGGATGTAAAGAAATTGAAACTCTCATATGTTGCCAGCAGGAATGGAAAATGGAACAACTGTTTTTCGAAAACAGTTTAGCAGTTCCGCAAAAAGTTAAAGATAGAGTTACCATATGACCCAGCAGTTCCATTCCTAGAGAAATGAAAACATACGTCCACACAAAAACTTGTACAGAGGGTTTATAGCAGTATTTTCCATAATAGCCAAGAAGTGCAAGCAACTCAAACATCCATCAGCTGATGAGTGGATCAGCAGAATGTGGTATATGTCTAAAATGGAACATTATTTGGCCGTAAAAAGGAACCGAGGTATTGACACAAGCTGCAACGTGGATGAAGTTTGAAAACAGGATGTTAAGTGAAAGAAGCCAGTCACAAAAGACCACACATGATTCCATTTATATGAAATGTCCAGAATAAGGAAATCTATAGAGAGAAAAAGTAGATCAGTGGTTGCTTAGCGCCGGGGCAAGGGAAGTGACTATTAATGGGTACAGGGGTTTTGGGGGGTGACAAAAATGTTCTAAAAATAATGTGTGACAGTTTTACAACTCTATCACTACACTAAAAACCATAAAATTGTGTACTGTAGTTGAGTGAATTGAATGGTATGTGAACTGTATCTTAATTACACTGCTCTTTTTTTAAAAAAGTTTGTGCAATTGTGGAATTGGAGGTCATTTTATGTCCTTATGTTATTATGTTTTTTAAGTTTTCTACAATGAGAATGTTTTGCTTTAATAATGTGAAAAATAAATGATGAATTGGGAGAGGAGGACCTTCTGTAGGCTTTCTTAGTACAAATGTTTGTGCTTCCTACAAAACTAATCCTTTCCTTCCTAACCTTTTATATAATCCTCATTGCCCTTTTTTATTATATTACTTGGGAGAGCAAAAGACTTTTTTCTTCCTCAAGCAAGAGAAGATGTTCTAATCGCAAGTTTTATTTCTCTGTGTAGGCCCCAGGGCACCTTCTCTTTACACGTTCTCATATGTTTGCACTGGCTGAGCTGTGTAGGGCTGACTTCATGTATAAAAACTGTGTAAATATAAAATAGAATATATCAAAAATGTATTTCTAAGAGCAAAGGATCAAATCATTTTGGAATGGGAAAGAACTGAGAAATCACTGACGCTCAAAGAAGAGAAATGAACGTGCCCAGGGCCTCTATACAGCTAAACCAGGGCTAGTGGTGCGGGCGTCCCGCTGAATCAGGGGGCCTCAAGCCATGCTTTATCTTATATATTATGGAATTATTTTAAATTTTTGAATTGTTTTGGAATGTTTTCCATGAATTGGATTTTTCCCCAGTATTATAAAAATGACAAAGAAGTAGAAAATGGTCTTTCACCTCATCTCACCTGAGTTGTTGGAACTGCCTTTGTTGATTCGTTGACAAAGAGCAGGATTTATGGGGAATAACCACTTGGGAGCTCAGCTCATCCTTCTCTTTCTTCGTTTGAACAGGTGATATATTGTTGAATATCAATGGCATTGATTTGACCAATTTAAGTCACAGTGAGGCTGTTGCTATGCTGAAAGCCAGCGCTGCATCCCCCACCGTGGCCCTCAAAGCACTGGAGGTCCAGGTCGTTGAGGACGCAGCCCAGACCTCGGAGGAGCAGGCGAGCACCTTCAGTGAAAACGAGTACGACGCCAGCTGGTCCCCATCCTGGGTCATGTGGCTTGGGCTTCCGAGGTACTGACAGCTTTTTGTTGTTTGGTGGAATAATCATAATTGCAACCTCTGTTAGCATGTGACACAGTAAATTCACTCATTGAGGGGAAGAAAGGCTTTGGTTAGATAACAGGAGCAACATCAGATCGTTACCAAAGAAAATGGTCATTTTTCTTTCTTAGGATATTATATTTACAAAGGTAAATTTAATAATAAGAACTAAAGAGTTATATCTGTTTATAAAAATGAATAAAGCCATTCTGTCTGTCCCTATTAAGGCTTTAAGTGGGCTAGCCTTGGGATTGGATGTTCAGTCTCTTGCTTAGAAAAGCTGTCATTTACCAACATTCATTCTGATACATGCTTAAACTCATGCATTTTTCACCAAAAAAAGCCAGGTCAAAGCGGGAAGCCTTTTTCTATCCCAGAAGACTTTCTAAAAGCCCTTCCTTAATCCTTTTAACTATCCCTAAGAAGCCAGGTTATAAACTGAATTTTTATTGGACGTTGGAGTCTTTAAGACATGTCACTGGTGTTCAGGAGTAGCTGCTCCTGCCCATCTTTAGGATGAGTTTGCTGCTTCGTGACTGACCAGCCAAGACGTTCTGAAGTTGGTCAGTGTCTGGTCACGAAGCATTTGGAACCCCCAGATGATTGTTGCATAATTTGATATTGAGCTCGGAAGAATGTGTCTTGCTATCTTTGTTTCCAAACCAGTTTAGATTCTTAATGTGCATAAGGATCCTAGAACTGAACTCTGATGAAACATTCTGACTCTTAACAAAATAGGAAAATTACTGATTCTTTAAAATAAAAATAAACAATAAGAAGGTGCCAGTTTAGGAAGGAGAAATGTATGGTGATGGATGGAACTTCCAGTTTTGGTGGTGAACACAATGCAGTCTATGCAGAAGCTGAAATATGATGACCTGGAATTTACATAGTGTTATAAACCAACATGACCTCAATGAAATAAAAAATAAATAAAAAGCCAGGTTAAAAAAATAAATAAATAAAGGTGTCACCTGAATTCAGCTCAGCATGTGAATAAAAAAAAAATAGTATGTGCCAGTTTCTGAGCCAGCTACCTTCATTTGGAATAAATTTGTAATAATAACTGGAATTTGCATAGTGCTCTATGGTTTATAAAGTTCTTTCACATAAAGAATAACAGAAAAAGCAAGGATATTATTGGATTTCATTTGTTGATAAATCTAACTTGCAGGCTTGCCGTCTTGGTTAAAAAAACTAAAAAGGCCCAAAACTGTGACGGAATTCATGTCTTAGGGACCTGTATGGACCTTGTATTTGGATCTTGTGGCGAGAGATTTTTTTTATGACAAAGATGTTTTAACTACTTCATATCTGTTTATTCCATGCACTAAAACTGATTAATTTTTCCCACTGAAAAGTCAACATACATTTACATGGTTGCTCTTAAATTCTGTAGAATAGTATCTAAATTGCGAAGTTTCAGCCATCAGAGGGAACCTCACTGATCGTTCAGTACTCAGCCTGGTACTTTGACCGGTCAGTTTAAACTTAGAATGTCAGAAGGGGCCCTTCACATGCTGGAGGAGGATGTTATCTCCTTGTGCTGTGCGGCTGCCGAGCAGGTCCACACCACTGCTGCTGGATGGGCAGAGACCAGCGATGTCTTGGAGAAACACTCTGGCACTGGTGCTTCCTTTCTTTTTCCTTATCTGTTCTTCCAGTCTAGTTTTGGGGGTCAGCATTTTTACCTCTTGTGTTCAGAGCATTTCCTGGTGTGCCAGGAAGAATAACAGAGATTTTAGATGAGAAATGTGCAGGATAGTAAAATCTGGTTTTGAGCCCACCTGTATCAAAAGAATACCTGTCAATAAAAGGACGGTCTTCAGTGGATTCTCGAGGCCTCTGGTGTATGCAAACCTGTGTTCAACACCACGTGTCAGAAGGGCCGCGGCTCTACAGGGGCAGGTGGCCCTTCAGGCGGGTTTCACGCAGCGTAGGGTAGCCGCCCAGCTTTTCCTGAAGAGGGCGGTTCTTCCACTGCAGTCTGTTGGGGGTGCGCCAGACAACTGTTTGCTTGTTTTGTTTTGTTTTTGCAGAAGATTCAAATAATGAAAATAACCTACATTGCCCTAAAAAGCCAGGCCAATGCATGGGACCCTGCTCCATCCCAGGAGCCCTTTTAATAGCTCTTTCTTATCAGTAAACTAAGAAATTAGACCAGATTGGAAGTTTTAGCATGTTGTATATAGCTTTATAGAATTGGCTTTATTAATAAGAAACCCTTTTTAATGGGTTAAAAACAGAAGGCTTTGGCTTAGATGCCTCCATATCCAATTTCACCTAGAAATGAAAGATATTTTTTATGAAGAGATACTCTTTTCTATATCGTTTAGGGTTTATTTGGTGGGATTTTTTTCTGTTTTTATTTTTAAGTTTTTACTCATGGCTGGTTCCCAAATCCATAGAGCTGTGGAACTGTAAGTAGAATTTTTCTCCCTTCCTAGAGAGCATCCTCCAAACTGGCCAGTAGCATGTTAATGGTAGCATCCTAATGTCCACTCTATAAAAAGGGTGGAGGGATTTTGTTTTTCTTATTGTTTTCCAGATTGAGTTCCCTATTTTGTTGATTAAAGTTGCCTTTAAAATGAAAGCATTTTCAGTAAAGGAGGAAAGGGCAGCAGACCACTCCTCGTGGAGGTTAGAGAGTTATCCTGCATTGTTTTCGCAGCTGCCCTGCTGCACGTGTCCTCTCATTTGAGTGCTCAAATCAGCAGTACTAGACTCCTTTTGTACCACTTTTTGGAGATACAAATTGTGAAGATACAAATGGATATCAGAATTGAGGGCCTTGTTGACAGGGCAGTGAGCAAATATAGGCACAGAACCATCTTATCCAAATTTCTGAGGTCTAACTTGTAACAAGTTTATTTAAGCTTTCTGTACGTATGTGTGTCTTCACTTGGGAAGAGAAGACTAAAAAATGTTGAAGAAATTCTAGTCTACTTAAGACTGCATCTGTCCTAGAAAATGGGTCTGCAAAACAATATATTCATGGGGCTGCCCAGTGGTGTAGTGGTTAAGTTCATGTGCTCCACTTTGGCAGCTGGGGGTTTGCAGATTTGGGTCCCAGGTGTTTGTCAAGCCACGCTGTGGCAGTGTCCCACATGCAAAATAAAGGAAGATTGGTGCAGATATTAGTTCAGGGCCAATCTTCCTCACCAGAAAACAAAAACAAAAGCAATAACCATTATATTCAGAAGGAAATTAAGTAGCCCTTTTGCTTTTCCCAACAATGATGAGTATAACATGCTATAGAGTTATACAAAGATGAACAGGCTATAAAAGCCTCTGCATTAATTTTTAAATTTTTTCTTGATTTTTATATTTGTTTACAGTGCCCTTCATAGCTGCCATGATATAGTTTTACGAAGAAGCTACTTGGGAAGTTGGGGCTTTAGTATTGTTGGTGGATATGAAGAGAACCACACCAATCAGCCTTTCTTCATTAAAACCATTGTCTTGGGAACTCCTGCTTATTATGATGGAAGATTAAAGTGAGTCTTGTTATATTTAATGATGTGATTCATGTTTGTTATGATGGACACAATCTAGACCAGGGGTCAGCTCCAAATTCAGCCTGTTGTCTGTTCTTATAAATAAAGTTTTATTGCAACATGGCCACACTCATTCATTTACGTGTTGTCCGTGGCTGCTGCTCAGGTATAGTGGCAGAGTTGGGTCATTGTGGGCAGAGACCATATGGTTTGCAAAGCCTAAAATAATTGTTTACCAACTGACCCTTTACAGAAGAAATTTGCCAATCCTGCTCTAGACTGAAGCATTACCTTTACCCTCTTGCCACTCATAGCTGTATTTTTGTACGCTAATGACAGGAACCAAACCTGAGTCATTTCATTGGACATATTGTGATATGACAACTGACTCTGAGCAATTTTTCCACACAGCCCACTGAGGTCCAGTCCTATCATTAGATGGCTCTGCTTTATTTTTCTCCACGGCACTTGTACCTGCCTAACATTATATTTATGCGAGCTCCACGAGGAAGGGATTTCGTTGCATTTGTTGTTGAATCCCTGGCAGCCATAACAGTGCCCTGCATTTATAGTAAGGTCTCAACAAATATGTGATGAATGAGTGTGTGATAGCTTACAGTGTGCTGGGCACAGTGCTGAGTGCTATGCATGCGTTATTGAATCTTCTTAACAACCCCTTGAGGTAAGTGATGGTGGTGTTGTTATTCCTGTTGTTCAAACACGATAACTGAGGCTTGGAAAGGTTGAGAAACTTGCCCACAGTCAAATGGCTGAAAGTGGTTGACTGCGATTCATACCCAGAGCCTTTGCCATTAACCCCTCTGCTCGTGCCGCCACCAGGCAGAACGTACTCACTCAGCCTGTGTGCAGCCTCTCTTCTTTTCCAAAGCTCAGGCTCCCGGAGAAGAAAGTGGTGGTGTATCGAGAGACTGTATAAGGAGAGAGGACGTGGGTGCTTGGCAGTTCTTAGTGCCTAGTGTTTGATGAAATAAAAGCACCAGTTCTTAAAAAGTAGATGCTGACATACTAAACAGAATGCTGCACAAATGGAGAGTTTACTCTGTTTGCAAAGAGAAAGTGACATCTAAATCCTACTGTGAGAAGTTGGTCAGGGTTAGTGTGCTCCAGATCAGTCTCATATTGACAAAGATGGAAACAAATCATCATTTTAGGAGGAAAGAGGAGGGGGGAAATGAATTAACCATTCTCTTAGCTAAGTTACTCAACCATGCTGGGTCTCAATTAATTAGTTTATAAATTTACCTTCCACCTACTTCCGAAAAGAAATTAAAGGAGCTAACAATAAAATAACATATTACCGACTAAAAACCAAAAGTCAGAAAGCATAGAAAGATCGTCAGATTCATCATTCATTCGTGATAATTCTGCTTGGAGGACAGTGAACATAACAGCTGAAAGAAGAGGAGGTGTCGGTCTTACTCTCAATTTAATTGAACACTCGAAGGTGTGAGCTCTAAGAATGAACAGAGAAATAGCCAAAATAATAAACAAGCCCCTCCAAATGCATTTGGTATTTTTTAAAGGGGCAGTAGGTTTATTCTTCTAATTATATTTTGCTTAAACTTAGCTGAAAATTATTCCGCTTGCCCTTGAAATCACCCACCAGCTACAGGAGAGGTTGGCACAGAGGTGTCGTTGATTGGCAAGGGGAAGCCAATGTAGGCTTAAAAATCAACCCAGAATGTTTCTCAAGATAATCACACATCCTAATCTTTGACAGTTAGTGGTTAAGTGAAACTGCTTTTCATGCTAAACAAATCTCAGTGAGAGTAATGTTTTTAATACCCTGAAAACAGTAACAGTCTGTTTCTGTTTCTGTCTGTCCTTGTCCAGGTGTGGAGATATGATCGTGGCCGTGAACGGCCTGTCAACTGTGGGCATGAGCCATTCCGCGTTAGTTCCCATGTTGAAGGAGCAGAGGAACAAAGTCACTCTGACCGTTATTTGCTGGCCTGGCAGCCTGGTGTAGATTTTGAAATTGGTTTTGAGTCAAACGTCTTCCTTCTGTAGGTTTTGGAAAGAAAACCCTTTAGTTTCATTGTATTTCTGGTTATTAGGAGCTACTGACACAGCTGGTATATGCAGGGCCAAAAACCACTAAGATTGTCCTTTTGTTATTATTTAAATGTTTTTTTCCTCAAGTTAGCCACATTTCTTTCAAGTTGGAAACAGTCTTCCACTAACCCTTGTGAGTTCGCATTTTCGGAATTCAGACTCACAGTGGTCAGAATGGGACCTGTCGTGGTGGAAGCAGTCCGCCCAGACTGTGACCCAGCCACAGTGGTCAGAATGGGACCTGTCCTGGTGGATGCAGTCCGCCCAGACTGTGGCCCACCCAGCTGGATTGCTGTTGGTTCTGTGTTTTCAGTGACTGAATCAGAAAATGTATTCCACACGCCCCAAGACTGGCAGCAGTGAAGCCTGTAGCAGTAGCATTTACTGCCTCTGTTGGATGTGGTGCTGCCATGAATGGATACATTTTAAATTTGGACGATAACTCTTTCCCATTCTTCATCGGTGCCAACATTTCGGAACTTTGTACTGCTTTTATGAAGAGACTTTTCTGGCTTATTTTATTTCTGCTTTAATCCCTCAGTGCTCATAGATGATGAAGACAAAAGTCTGATACCACTAAGGAGATTTTAAAAAAATAACTTACCATTATTAGCATAGTAGAGAATAAAAGATAATGTTACCCAGTGACAAAGGAATTTGGGAGGTAATTATAGTGTAGTGCTGGAGAGGGTAAAAGCTGCATTTACTTGAACGGTCCAAAAGCATTAAAGGTTCATTTCCAAAGGAATGCTTTGTTATGTAGGAAAATTTCGAAGCAGTTTTTGCTAAAAATCATTTTCTAGAGTTTGTATTATACTTACCTGCAAACTTGGCTGGAAATGTTTTTGTGATTTATGCAATTAAGCTAGATATTAAAGATAAAATCATATTGCTATTAAATACACCCTTATATATATCACAGCTAAGTAGGAGAAGGTAGACCTTTTTAATTTTATTGTTATAAAAGTCTGGAATGTTTTAGAAACCCTTCTTTCCCCCTATTCTTTCGTTACTTATGAACTTAAGTATTTCAAGAAAAAGTCTGAAAGTTCTTTCTTTTTTGTCTGAAATAGATTTTAGATGTGTCTTAATCAGTTCTTGGTCACTAGACTATTTTGTATTTTTTGAAATGTTTTTGAAAATTATGACCAGCTCATTTTGTTTGTCCTTTATTCAACATGGTTGTCCTTTGGAAGAACACACAAAGAAGTGAATAAGAGAAAAATATCTTTACCTTATTAATATTATGCATACTTGAAAAAGTTTCACTTAGAAAGCTAGTTCAGAATCTGAGCTAATTTACAAGTGACCTCTGTAATAAATGATATTGATTATCAGAGAATGTATTTCAAAATACTAAAGTATATTATGAAGCATGACCACTTTATTTTCAAACTTAGCAATTGCATTGCTGGGGTTTATTGTATCTGTAGCATGTCACTGATTATTCCAGTTAGTTTTATAATGATTTTTTTAAACATAGCTCTTTTGAATAAATAAGAAATGGCAACAATAGTTGTTACTGACTTGTTCAACCCCTTAGCTACACTGTATGGTCGAGAGATAATGAAGATACAGTGGGACGCCCCATACAGTATATTACTGTTAGGCGATGATTGGCTTTGGAAGCAATTTGATATTGAAATGTTTTGATATTCTAATTAACATGGAACAAGTTTTTTTCCTGCTCCCCAAATAGAATTTTGCAGACTACTTTGCTATTTTTTTAAACATTTTGTAAGAATGCATCATTTCTTGACCAGTGGCCATCCATCAACAAATATCCTAATTGCTACTTTGTTATATATAAAATGCTTAGATTGAACCTGGTGGTAGAATCAGTATTTTGAAAGAAGAAATTTTTTTCATTATTATTTTTATCATGGAAATCTTGAAATCAGCTTAAACTAATTTGGTTTTATTACAAAAACTATAGCTTTTGGTCAGAATGATATTTGATGATGGAGACTTGTTCAGATTTTATTGTTACTGTTGGAATATTTTAATTTTCTCATTTTAAGCGTAAGTAGTTAAATATTTTGATTTGTTCTGTGCCTTCGGTTTAAATTATTTCAGGATTTTTCAGAGGTGTTTAAATAACAAGTGTGACAATCAGTCAGGGTGGAAATAAAAGTCATCGTTTCCATAACAGTGACATTGTCTCTTTTCTTGAACAGCAGATGTTGCCTCAACGTGTGATCTTTACTTTTGTTTGTGGCACCACTGTCATCATTACAATATCCCAAGCTTGAAACCTCAGGATTGCAAATGCATCTTCTAACTCTCATTCCTGTAGGCACAACACATATGGTCCCTCCTGGCTCTTGGGATTTTTGCCTGTCGGTACGTCTAGACTCACGTTGTCCAGTACGTGGGACTGCTGAGTGCTGGAAATGTGGCTAGTCTACGTGTTGAAATGATAATACGTTGGATGTATTGGATTATATAAAATATATTATTACAATTAATTTCACCAGTTTCTTTACTTTTTTTAATATGGTTACTAGAAAATTTTAAGTCACATATGTAGCTCACCTTGTATGTCTAATGAACAGCAGTGCTGGCCTCCTCAGCTTTGCATTGTCACAGCACTTACCAGGCCAGGCACTCCTGACATTGTGGTTTCTCTTCTTCTAGAGCCTTGATCATTCCTTGCATTAAAAAAATTTTTTTAGATGAGAGAAAGAAAGTTGTCTCCCGATTTCCTGGTAAATTAAGTTCAAACCAAGGCCTCTGTGATCTGACTCCTAATCGAGTTTTCCATTCGGCTCTGCAGTCCCGTTTGCCCTTGGCTGCCCCAGCAGGCTCCCCACACTCTCTAGGTTCTGCCTCCACACACATGCCTGTAGTGTTCCCTCTAATGCTTCCCTGGCATGCTTTCCCTCCTCTGCATGTTCACATGTCCCACATTTGGAGGCGTGGCTTGAACACTGCCCCATCCAGCTCCCTCTTGCCTCCACTCCCCACTTTCGAGAGAATTACCCTGGTGATGAATCTCAGCAGGCCTTTATATTGACATTTATTATGGCTCTGACCACTTCCTACCTAATTACTGTCATAGTTTCAAGTACCATCTCTGATTGCCGCCTTGCCGTTTTGAATATCACTGATGCCCCAAGTCTAGCTCCCACAGTCTGTAAGCTGAATATCCTGTTGCTTTAAGGCACTTACAGCTCAGTCCTCCAAAACTGAATTCTCTGTTTTCCCAAGCGTTTGCCTACTTCCACTTTCACTCTTTCAATCCAAGCCCTTATCAGAGGAACTTTTCTAAATCCCAGCTTGGATCATCGCTCTGATCATATCCTTGCCCTGTTTAAAAATCTTCAGTGGTTCCGTGTTGTCTGCACGAAAAGGTCAGCATGGCCTGGCACAGCGTAAGAGCTTCTTCATGATCTGCCCCTGCCGCTCTCTTGGCCTTGCTTCCACCTGCCTTGCCTCATCTCTAAACCACCCCCACACCTGTGTCTACAGCGGCTCAGCCCACGGGCTCAAGTGACATCACCTCTTTTGGGAAATCTTTACCAACCTCTCTGGGCAAGCATTTTTTTCTCTCAAGAGGTTTTATTAAATTTTCATGGTCATGGATGTGCACTAGGAAGAAGAAAACAGAAACTTGCCAGGTAGATGCTTGATTACAACTATCGGTAGCAGTTTTTTAAACTAGCCATTAAATATCAGAGATTCTGTACCTTCTGAAGAAGCCAAGGTATTCCAGGGGAAGGAATGGCCCAGTGTCCATCTGTTCCGGGATCCCATCCACGATACCACGTTACATCTAGTTGTCGTGTCTCCTTAAGGTTCCCCTCGGCCGTGCCATTTTCTCAGACTTTCCTTGTTTATGAGGATCTTGACAGTGTTGAAGAGTACCAGTCAGGGATGTCGTAGGATGCCCTCTTGCAACTGGTCTGCTCTTTTTTCTCCTGATTAGACTGGGGTTATGGGTTTGGGGTAGGGAGATTACCAAGGCAAAGTGCTGTTGTCCTCCTATATCGTGGACTGTCACCATGCTTTGTGACTGGTAGTGGTGACCTTGATTACCTGGCCTAAGGAATATTTAGAAGTTACTCCTCCCTCTAAGCCCCCACACTGAACACTTTGGACAGAAGTCACCGTGCACAGCCCACACTGAGGGCGTGGGGAGTGCTGCTCTCCCTTCGTTTATTTGCGAGCTGGCCAGGAAATGAGGGGCCTGTGGTTGGAAAGAAGGGAAGTGGAGTCCTTGGCTTAGAATGCCAGGAGCATGCCTCTTTCTTAAAAACCCTCCCTTGACTCTGCTATTTCACAGTAAAATTTCCCAGAAGAGATGTCTTCATTTCATGCTCTTTCACTCTATTTTTAAATTTAATAATAGTTTTTCCAACACAAAAAGTTATAAAACTTACAATGAGCACTTGTTTACCCACCACCCGGCTTAAGTAGAACATGGCCACTGCTGTCGAAGTTCCTTCTCCATTTACATCTACTTTCTTTCTGGCCTTTCCATGTGTCCCTTCCTAAATTTACTACATATTTGTCCTTCTAATATAGTATTGTTGCGTGTGCTCCTGAACTAGATGAATGATGCCATCCTTATGTGGCGTGCTGCAGCTAACTGCTTTTCCTCCAACAAGATTCATTCATGTTTGGTTTATGTAGCTCAAGTACTGCTATGTATTCAATGACTGACAATTTTATAGTTGATGGACATTTATTTCCGCTTTTTGCCATTAGTAACAGTGTTGCTGCGACCACTCGTCTTCTCGACCACACAAGTGTTCTCGTGCACCTGAGAGTTTCTCTGGGGCAGTGGTTGCCCTTCACCCTAGCTGCACAGAAGAATCACTCGGAGCGCCTTTCAAAAACACCAATGTTGATTTAGTTGGTCTGGGGTGGGACTAGGGCGTCAATTTTGTTTGGTTTTGCATTCCCCTCAGGTGATTCTAATGTGCATCTGTAGTTGAAAACCACTCCTCTAGGAGCGGATTTTAGGGTAATTGCATCTTTACAACACAATCAATCTCCTAAGTGGTTGTACCAGTGCACATTTCCACTAGTAGTGTGGGTGAGTTTTGTTCCACATTCTTGCTAACATTTGGTTTTATCAAGCTGAAGGGAGTGAAATGGCATCTCATTGTGGTTTCAATTCTCATTTCCCTGATGACTGGGGAAGTGCAGTGTCCTCTCCCATGTTTATCAGCCATTCTAGTATCCTCTTTGGTGAATAACCTGTTTGACTATTTTCTCATGGGCTGTTCGCATTTCTCTTAGTGACTTTTAGAAATTCTTTATCCTGGATATTAATATTAGTGGACAGGCAGGTTCAGAGGGTTCTCTTTATCAAGATACTGTGCAACGTGAGCAGATTTTCAATAGCAGAGTCCATGCGCTCCATCGTAGCTATTGAACTTTTCTCCCTAAAAGACCATGGGGGCTCAAATTCTATCGCTACGACTTCTGAACTTGATTTCCATTCTTTTGTGTATTAGAGTGGGCTGTTACTTTATGATTCCTCAATATTTGAAGCTTTAGTCAGATAAATGAATGGTTAAGTTAAATTTGAAGTTAACACCTGAATTTCAGCCTCTAAGGGTACTTCACTGAGTTCATCATGCATAGGGCTCCCATGTTACAGTACAGTAAAGCCCGCCCCGTTAATTCAGACTTGACTCATTTGGACTTTGAATGCTTAGACAGAGTAGAAGTTAACTTGGCGCTTTTATGTAAAGAATAGGTGTCTTAAATAAACGTGTTAAAAAATGGAGGGTAGGATATTTAAGCTGCATGCTGAAGTAGACTGTTTTCAAGTTGCCTTAAGCACTTGAAGAGAATTCCCACGCTCATTCAAGTAATCGATGTGGCTCTTTCCTGTGTAGCCCTCTAAAGAATTAGTCCAGCACCCATTGTGTGCACCACACAGACAGAGGCTCTGGATCACTTCTCTATTATACCTAACTATCATAATTCAGGCTTTCTTCCATTTGTCCAGATTTAGTAATGAACAAAACCGAATGGATTACACTAGCCTGATTAACTGCTGCCCGGTCCATGGCTAGGAACTCATGAGTTGAGCTTTTTCTCTTAAGGTTCTCTTCTCTGTCTGCTGAAGGAAAGGTTTCAGCTCCTCAGGGTCCTTATTAGAAAGCTCTTGCCATTTTACAGTGCAAATCTCTTCCATTTAAGTACACCACCAATTAATTTCTATGGCAACACAGTTGGATGTGTAAGCGCAGTGCCTACTGGTAAAGTGCCGAAGGTAAGAGGCCCTAAAACGTAATCACACACAGGAGTAAAAGACTAGCCCTTGGAGACCTAACACCCCCTGCACAGGGCAAGAGCGTGCCTCGCGCCAGAGAAGGAGGCTGCTGCCCCTGCGGCTGCGTGCGAAGCACTTAGAGATTTCCATTCGAGCTCTGTTAGCTCACTCACCTGCAGCAGTGCTTTGAAGTTGGGCTATTTTGCCAACTCAGTACCCACCTTGTTTCCTCAAAAGTTTTCAGTTTCAGGGTGACTCCAACACAACCCTTCCTTGGATTGCCCACAGACTGACCACCAGTTCAAGAGCGATCAAGTTAGAAAGATCTACACTTAGACTCTGATGGAAGAGAAGCAACAGTTGTCCAATGTCAAGGTTCTGAGGTTGCAGGCAACTGTTAGAAATAAAGTTTTTCTTTACTTTGTCTACATTTTTTAAAAAAATCTTCTCTCACCCTGACTCTAGAACCAATACAAGAATGTCTTAGGTCATGGGATGTGCTGAGTCAAAGCCACGCCTGCGACCTCTGCCACCAGCAGACCACCCAGGGAAGTGACGCCCCAGGACAGTTGTGCAGATCTGCCCCTCTGTGCTTGTCGCCTTCCCCGCTGGCACAGGCCTTCAGGGGCAGAGTCCAGGTCCTTGCCTGGCCTCTCAACAGTGGGGACTAGACTCTTGCTCCTGGGGTCCCAGCCTGTGCTGAGGTAGGTAGGTGCCCATGGAGAGTGGTGGGTGCTCACAGCAGCAAAGCTCGCCTTGTGGGTAATTAGTAAACGTTTAAGGAAAATGAGTTCTTGTCTCCTCTATCCACAAGTCATTCCAAAGGATGTGATGTCCTTGTGTAATCCAAGTCCCCACACCCTATGTAGTCTTCCCTCATTGGCCCCAAATCATAACCCTTAGAACTAGAAGGTCCTTA